GGTGTTCAGAGGTTTTTATGCCGCTCCGGTGTTGGGACCGTGAAGCTGTTGTCATGTCATCAGCTAAGATGTGTTGAGCATCCTTATTTTTGGATGACAGCGTGTATAGGAGGTGTCAGCCAGCCCTTTTTGCTTCTTTCTCTCTATTTTCTTTCTTCATTTGTAGGTTTTAGTCTTGGCTTTGCTTTGATATCTTGACAGGGTTGATGCTAAAAAATTCTTGTGTTTTTTTTAAATTTTTGTTGTCTTGAGATGCCATGATTAGAGGTGCACGTAAAGAGCTGCTGTGGTTTTGGTCCAGAACCCAGCCAGCTGCCAGCAGCATTCCTGAGGGCTGTGTGGTGTTGGAGTGAGAAACACTGCAGGGTTTTGGTTTTTTCCCAGCATTATGAAACAGAAGAAACGAGAGAAGTCAGCATGTACCTTAAGGGTTGTGTTTTTATTTTAACTCTGTCACTGTGGAGAGCTGAGGTTTGCATCTTCTCCACTGAGACTGGTGCTCGTGAAATCTAACGCACTTCTGTGAATGTCCTTAAACTCTGCCAASAGCAGAGAAGGCTGAGAAATGGGGAATTTGCTTTGCCCGGAGGTGGAGGAGTCATGCTGCAGAGGCAGACACAAGCACCCTGGTTGCTCCTGTTTCCCTTGCCAAAGGCGGTGTGAGTTTTGGTCTGCTTCAATGAGACGAGCTTTAAGCTCCATCTGTGTCTTTATTTTTTATTTTTTATTTTTTTTCTGCGTTTTGTTCAGTTGTGCTTTTTAAACGTCTGTGGATTTGTTCTCAGCAGGAGGTTTCAGTCCCCACACAATGTATTATTGTGTTCGCCTGGCTCTAGTTCCTTATTTGATGCGGAAACACCTTGAACCTTTGGCTGAGTTGGAAGATGGGTGTCGAGTCAGGCCCATGGCTGCAGGCGTGGGGTGTTCCAGGAAGGACAAGTCTGTGCACAGCTCAGTGAGTGTCCCGATTGCTGCTCCAAACTCGGGGTGTTTGGCTAACACAGCCACTCCCTACCTGCTGATCTTATTTTTGTTTGAGAGGCTGATCCCTAGGGTAAGAGGCTGTAGCCAGAAATAAGTGAATGTTCACACTTACCTGCATGGACTTCTGGAGTAYTTTGCCAATTAATTCTCAGGTAACAGGCTAAAATATCTGGTGTGAAGGACACAGCCAGGAATGCTGCTACCCCTGCTATTCTTCACTCATTCCAGTTTATGCAAAACTTGATAAAAGTGCCTGTGCTGTCTTGGCCATTTGCAATCTGCTTTACAAAGCCTCTTAACCAGAAGAAAAAATGTGTAAACAAACACATCAGTTTCGACTTGCAGCCTTGCCAAGTCCATTCGGTGTGCGTTGAGGAGGCAGAACAATTAGTTACAGAAGCAAATGGCTCTTGTGTGTGTTCTGTGCTCCTGTCACATGGCCATCTCYCAGTTTTTTGGTAAGTGTAACCATGAAAGCTGTATCAAGCAGCTATTTAAGGCATGTGCAGAAGAAGGGGGTGAACCAACAGCTGAACGTTAATCTGCCAACGAAGGTGGAGCTGAATTGTATCTCTTGATGGGGTGGGGGTGTCCAACAACGGTCATTTCTGCTCCCTTTTTAACAGCACCTAGTTGGTTTCTTCAGTTGAGTTTCTCAGATCGGGGGCTTTGGTTGTAGTGCTGGTTGAAGGAGTTTACTAATTCACGTGTTCCTATCACGGTGCTTCTCTCTCCTGTTATTTTTGAGCTGAGTAGTTGAGTGAATGTCTTCAMCAARCMSWCG